AAAAAAAAAAAAAAACAAAAAAAAAACAAGGAGGGAACGGAAATGACTAGTGCGCGCGCGCCGAATTTCATATTCTCCAGCAATTTATCATCCCGCAGGAAAATCCTGCGAAATCTCTTTTATACGAACTACGATATCTGCCGACACGTTCTTTACATTAAGTTAAGAGACGAAAATAGAGACGGATCCCCCCGAAAGACGCGACGTTTTAATTTTATCTTCTTCGCGAAAACTCCGATATGTCATCGGCTATGGATGACCGACTGACGCTTTACCAGCGACTAGTTATAGCAGTATAGAGGAAATGAACGACGTCTCGCGTGTGAACGATCGAAGCCTGACGAGCTCTCGAATCTGTACTTTCGTTGAAACGCGAAAAAAAGTCACCGTAGCTACAGGCTGCGAGAGACGATATTCCTTCTAATTACATTGCGTGTTACGACGTAGTGCCGTACTTTTAATCGTCATACGTGTAGATTAAAAGTAACCTACGTGATAGTAACAAAGTCATTTGGAAAAAATACTTGTGCTTTCGCATAAACAGCGATTGGATTTACGACAGTTCGAAGGAAGCATCTACCTGCGAGTACAGCTGCAACAACGATCGCTATTACCGCGCGAACAAAATCGAACAGTTTTGAAAGAGAGATCGAATCGGGGCAACCAAAAGAGGAATCGGTTATCGGAATCGAAAGATTGGTAGTCGAGAGCGGATTAATTAAATCGAGGTAGTGATGTAATACGAAAAGGAGCAAATTTCGCGAGTCTTGCCAAGAATCTGAAAACGGGTGCAGATTCCCTGAATATTCAGAGACTATGTAGGTACTGGAACCGAATCGCTGATCGAACGCGATACCATTGATTCGGCAGTATCGTTCGTAAACTCTGCTAATTTAGTAGTACTCGATCGTAAACGATTACAGTTATTTCGCAAACGGTGCTCGACCGAAATAATTTCCAACGAACGAAATTTCTTTTTTTCTTTCGTTTCGTTTAACGCATTCGTTGTTCCGTTTATTTGCGAGAATAAGCAGCAACGGGATAAAACATCGATTTGTCAAAGTGAGACACTCGGCGTGCCAAAGCGGAATGAAACGACAGACTTACGGAATACTACTCGAAACTTTGATACGTAAATTCGATCAAAATCGTCGCGGAGTATAGCGCTATCGAATTTCGAGCAGTACGAAGATCCAGCGTAACACGAATGCGTTAAAACTTTCTTTCGAACTAACGGTGACGTTTTCAACGTTTCTTACGCATCTACGGGATAACAGGGTCGAGCAAGTCCCATGCTGCATTTAAACGCCCTGCAAAACGATATTGCGCCCTCCGCTAACCAATAACTTAGTACATGTTTTAACGTGTTTTCGCAGTAGATCGAAATACACAGCGTCCGCGTATATAATATACCTACATAATCAGCGCATAAACTGACCGACCAAAGCCTTTGATTAAATAATTTAAAAAATAAAAAAAAAACGAGATATATATGTGTGTATACGCAGATACAAGTTAAGAATAATACTAGTGTACAAATGGTGATATTCTGAAAGAGACCGTTAACGGTCACACGTACACTCGCACACACGCGCGTATAAAAATTCTTCGCTACACCGCTTTCAAACTCTTAGCTTCGCTTTTGCGCGTCGTTCGCGAATTCCAAATCGTTCTTAATTGAATTTTGATCTTTCTCCTCGAGTATGTATTACCCGATACGGAAACCGAAGGAAATTGCTCGCGACGATGTACGATGTCGAAGACGATATCGTAACGCGGGAATCGAGATTTTTGGAAAACGTTTTCGACTCGATCTTCGTGTTTGGAAATTTGTTAACGGCAAAATGGGATTAATCGCGTTACAAAAACGTACAGGTAAAGATATGTAAAAAGAAAAAGAGGAAATCTAACAGAACTTATTAGAGAGAGCTTATTCTTTGTACTTTTGCGATAAGACTTGACAAGCTACGGTTAGGCGAAGAAATCTCGAACGACGGATTACAAACGTTGCGTACTGCTATTTCGCATCGTACGTTCTATTTATATCGAGTAAACAACCGTTAACGGTCTCGCATCGAGTATATCGAATGAAAGCTCAAAAAACTTAAAATATTGCAAGATGAAACGTAAATTCTTTTTCCTTTACTTACACATAGAAAAAACAATTTAAAATAGTACGATAAACCACCAAGTGTATGTTGTATACGATAATTCCGTGTTCCTCTTGCAACGCAAATCGGAAACTTTTCTTCCCTAATTCGATTATCTATCTGATCGATTGCAGCAAAATATTATGCAAAATATAACGTTTCGTCAGCGGTCCGAACACCTGTATGTACACGTTTCTCCAAAAACAAAACTACCATATCGTTAAAAACGTACACATACATATTTTGTCTGTCACTTTCTTTCTTTTTTTTTTTTCAGACTTTCGAGAAAAGCCGCGGCTGAGCGTCCTTTCGAAACGAATCCGATAAAGATATCAGGACTACAAAGCCAAGGCAAACGTTTTGCTTATGCCCAGTGTTGCACTTTGTAAAATAAATAGAAACGAATAAATACTTGAGCACGTTCTATACCTCTATCTATCTTCTATCTATCTATATATATATATAACATATATATTTCATATATATAAGATGTATATATATATAGATAGATAGACAGATAGATGGACAGATAGATGGACAGATAGATAGACAGATAGATACATAGATAGATAGATAGATAGATAGATAGATAGATAGATAGATAGATAGATAGATAGATAGATAGATAGATAGATGTATAGACATATAAAAGAAGAGAAAGAAACGTATGCTTATTTCCTTGGCGTGCATTGAACGCGACGTAAGTTCAATTTATCATCCAAGTTCCCGAAAGTAAATTACAGGCGTAAAGGATAATCGTTTCTCCACAGCCACTATTTAACGTAAAGGATTAATTTAAAAACGCAAGAATATTTATCATCCATCCGATTTCAAGATTTCGATCAATTTCAAACATCTAAACGAACCTTACATATACAATTCGTTAATTTAACATCACTCTGTAAACACACAGTTTAGTTTCTTCTTTGCCTAACTTCTTCAATTGCAACAAGGTACCAAAAAAGAAACGTAGCTCTGTTGTACTTTACAGCCGAGATATTTAAAAAATCGTGCAAATAAGATTCCAGTATCACGAGTCAAATCGATTTCATGATTTTTCATGATTTTCAATGAAATTCGTTCGTGATACGTTGCTATATACGATCGCGTATATAATTTAGAAAAAGAGATCTCTCGACGGACAACGTAATACCAACGATCATCGACCGTTTTATTTTCCAGGATTTTATCGTGCGAAAAATGAAACAGCGAAACGTTGAATTTGCAAACGTTGAACGATCGCACTGAGAAATTCCATGGCGTACATCGGCCTACTTTCTTCCATCTTACGCTTCCGGAAAACGCGAACAAGATCATCTTCGTCCGAAGCGGCCTCGTCGCGTTCATTTCCCTGACCCATTTCCGGCGAGTTTTGCCTTCGATAAGTACTTCTCTGAAGCATTCAAGGTACCATGCACAATCGCGCGAGTTGAGCAACGGCATTTTTAACACCTTCGCATCTCTCGGTCGTCTCACTCCTTGGAAGAGCAGAACCATTTGAAATCCAAAGCACGAAGGGACACGAGCGAAGTTTTACAAAATAAGAAATCCTCCCTCGTTGTTGGAAATACCACGACGGAGAGAATCATCGCGTCTCTTATGTCTCTTCTTCCGTTGACCGGATCGTCCATTTTGACCTTGTGTCTCGTTGAAGCATCGAATCGATCGTGTATAGTAGTCGGTGCTATACACGCGAAACGCGTTAGACGATAACGGAACGTGGACACGTGTCGATTAAACACCGATCTATCGTAATCTCTGCGACCCCGCGCCTCCGTACACCCAGCGGGAGCCATTTCTCAAACTAGTTTCACTTTCTTTTGATTCTGTCAGACGGTCGAGTGCGTGGTGGAGGAAGGTTGTGTACTGGAAGCCGTCGTCGATTGTGGTGTTGATGTTGACGGTGAACTGACGACAACTACAGGCTTCACCAGAGTGGTGGTGTTGATATATTGGGCGTTCACGATCGGCATTTGCGCCACGGATTTGAGGATCGGGGTCGTGATCATTTTGCCCGCAAGGCTAGAGGGGGCTAGGATATGAGCAGTCACTTGATTTCCTTGCGAGACAACGGTCATCGGCGTGACGATCGGTGTCAGGCCGGAGAGAGGTGTGTGCGGGCCAACGATATGAGCTATACCCTCTGTGGACGGAGCGTTTTGCATCACTGTCGAGCCTGGTTTACCTGTTGTGGTTTGAAGCGACACTCCTGCATGGCTCAGCGTCAATCCTGCAACCCATAGGGGTAATTGCACGGTAAGATATGTTGTCTTCTTTCGGCCAAAACGAACGCTAATAAGAGAATAATTTGAATCCCTCGCGCTCAAGATTTCACCCGCTATATACCTTTCTACGATTGGTATTTGTAACTATTCGCGAGCATGCATCGTTGCTGAAAATCTTTTTTACCGGACGATTCTTTAAAAATAAATATAATAAATAACGTAATAAATATTAAAAAAAAAAAACTTGTACACCATTTTCAAATCAACCCCGTACACGAATACAACACGAAGTCTTTCTGCAAATGGCCATTTTTCTTCTAGCACCGTTTTTCAGTACAAGATCGTAGAGCAGTACGATTTTGTCTTGGATGTAGTGCTGTATACGAGAAACGCGAAGAAATAAGATCAGAACTTGCTTTTATAGAAACCGAGAGATACGCGATAACTAACGAGAAATTGGAACTGTAGGTTTGCCCTCTGGTGGCGAATATAGAAAAGATCAGCGTGTTTAAACTACGATACAGATATAAAAGGAAAAGAACGAAAGATATCCAATGTAAAGCATTACCATTTGCAGGCAGTATGTTCAATTCAGCGCCACCGGGAAGTCTAGTCAACTCCGATCCATTTCCACCTACCAGTGTCACACCACCGACCATTTTATGCGTGGTCTGCGCGTCACCCGCTCGTATCCTCGTTTGAGCATCTGCAACGTACACAATGCACGATATTATCCAACACGATCGAGAAAATAAATCGATGTTCTTCGTGGATTGGATGTTTCGTCAAATTTCACAGTAGCAAAGCCAATAAATTCACGCAGTCGTATTACTTAATTGCTATCAAAGATGAAAGAAAAATAAGAAAAGTTCTCTAGATATCGTGGTGTAGTTTGAACAGCACTGAATAAACGTGCGTCGACGTGCGTCGCAAATATTTGATCGAATATTTTTTTTATATTCTTAGAATAAACGAAGATTTTTTAAATAAACGACAGCAGCGAACTCGTAATTACGCTACGTAGACAGGATCGTTTCGAGTTACTCACTCGTAACATTCAGTGCAGGAGAATGCGCAGCGAAAACTAACGGCCTCCCCTCGTTTGCCGAATGCACTAATGTAACTGGCCTGACGTCATTGGCGGACGACTGCACGGCTAGGGCCAACGGCCTGTCGTTGTTGGACAGATTAGAATGCACAAACGTTACCCTGTTGTCGTTGGCCGTGGACGAGTGAACGACCAGCGCTACGGGCCTTGGCTCACTTCCAGTGTTCGATTGCACGGCAATAAGCGGCCTCGATTGATCCGGCGAGTTTTGCACGGCCAACGTGAGCGGCCTGGATTCGTTGCTGCCAGTGGTGTGAGTGACCAGAAGTTGCCTCGTGTCACCGGGTATCACCCTCAAGCTCGGACCGAGGTGCTGAAGGGTCGGTACGATCGTCGGCAAGCCTTGACTGGTGTTCAATATCTGAGCGCTGATCGGCAAGTGCAACTGGTGCGGCTGCTGCACTATACTCGTTGGTGAAGTATTAACTTTCTCCTACGATGAAAATTTCACGAATTACTTTGGATCGAGCTTTCGACTTTCTCATATGTAATATATAATTCTGCAATGTATATTCTAATTCCTTTCTAAATCTACAAAAATAAATGTGTGGTGTTGCATTGGTCGGCAACTAATTTATACATATCTATATAAACCAGTTATATGAAACACATTCGCAATGCATTTGAATCTTGCACCGTTGTTCCACACACAACGTTAAAAGGTACACAAACGTTGTGTCCAAGGGGGTGCTGCCTGCGCTACTAGCTACTACAAACGCTTTGCTCTGCTTTTTTGCTTGCTGCAGTATGCTTCGACGATATATACTTCGCGATCTAACCGTTTTGAATCGAATAAAAACGGTTAGTTACGATTTTAGCCGAAACTGAGATTCGATCCAGGGACGTTCAGATTAGCAGTCGCGGACTTAACCGACCGAGCCAATTCAACCGGCCGTAAAACTTTTGTGCTCGATATCGTCTTCAATCTCTTATGGGACGTACCTGTGCTGGAGTAGGAATGCTAGGTGCAGGCGTTCCAGGACTCGAACTCGCAGGTGGACTTTCTCTGGAACTTGGCGCAAGATTCATACCCTGCGCTTGGCAGACAACCGCCGCAGTGGCAACCTGATTGTGGATACTGGAAGTCGCGCTAGTACTTTGAAGCGCCTGCGGTGAACTAGCCGTAGCTGCGCTGCTCAGGCTGCTGGTACTACTGTACCTCGTACCACCCCGTGCGAGCCCCGTCACATCAACCTCCATGTTTTCTGAAACTTTAATAAAAAAAAATTCTTAAATCAGAAATTGCCACCTTACGTTTTTCTCTTATCGTCGATTCTATATTTTATAAAAGGTTCGCTTCGATGGTTGTTGTTTCTCTTCGAGTACGTTTAAAAGGTACACGAATGTCCTATTTCGATCGTAAGACTTACTACTTCTCGTGGCCGTTACATCGGCAGCCGCATTCTGTTCCGGTAAAAGAGTATTAAAGTCGATGTGATCCCAAGTAGCCGCGAGTTCCTTCTTCAGAGCTAGTAATCTTTGCTGGGCAGCAATTTTTTCCCTAGCAAGCCTTTCCATTTCGTGTTCGTAATCTCGTTCCTTCCTTCTCAACATCTGCAACGATATCCCCGCAATTAAAAAAACAGGGCAATCGATGGTAGAAAAAAGTTTCGCATTTTTTTATAGAACGAGCAGGAAAATTAATTAGCTTTCGAACCGAAACGATGTAAAATACAACACGTTCTCGCGATTATATAAGCACGTGTTCTAGACAGATTCCGATTATTCGCGAACGAAAAAGCGCAAATATATTTCGACCGATAACGCGATATATATTTATTTGCTCCCTCGAAACTTCTGCGATCCCAAAACTCTAAAATTTACGCAATCTGTCGTACATGAAATTATCTTTGTTTATCAAACCTGCGTGTTTCACAGTTTCACAGAAACGATTGCAGTTGTTGCGATCCTCTTCGCACGCTCCGGTAGATCTTTATGAAAAATTGCGTGCGCACGATAAAAAGCGGACGAAAACCCATTATACGTATCCCGGCTTCGTTTTCGAGAATAGCATAACGCGAGCGTCACACGATACTCCTGCAGATTCAGGACAACTCTCCATCGAAATACGATAAGCCTTGTGTTTGACGTCAGCACGAACATGCGTGAAGGAACCGTGCACGAGTGCACGGGTGCACGTGACAACGAGCTCCGATACCCAGCGAACGAGATGCATGCGTTTCGAGAGAAGTCGAGGAGAAAGAAAATATGCGAGGACGAAATTCTTGTCGTGTGCAAATTCGAACCTGATCGTTTCGCGCCACAAGTGCTGAGAAAATTCATGATGCGGCAACTTTGAACCACGATAAGAATCTCCAACGAAGAATCGGCATCATTTGCTGTACAAATTACAAAATTCGATCTCGCGTCTTGGCCCATATGTATTTAACTTTCCTGTAATCTTCGTGTCAGCAAACGCAACCTTATACCGTTATAGAACTTAATCTAGGCTAAACTTCTACTCGGAGTAACTGGTCCAAACCATAGAGCTTCAACGCGATGTAAAATAGATGGAAATGCCCATTAACCGATGTTAAATCGTTTGTTAATATATTATTTATATATATGAAATATTTACTGGTAAATATTTTTGGAGCGAAACGATGCTGTCTAAGATTAATTCTAAAGTTAGACTATGAATTCAACGTAAAACGAAACGAGCGTGAAAACACGCAAGACTAACAATATAGACGTAAAAACTTAGACGCGTTACAGTAGAAATCTCGAGTAGTTACGACTCTTTCCGTCAAAACGTGATAAGCATTCGATTCGGTATCGGCAGGAACGTTTCGCGAAGGAACGCACGTGACAATAAGTGGCAGCGCTACCGGCGCGCACGATACAGAATACACGTGGTAAGATCGTCGAGGAGGAGGAAGAGGAGAGCAACGCAGCCGCGCGCAGAAGGGAACGCAGACGGAAAGAAAAGACACGACCGGGGTCGCCAACATACACAGTGATAATCAAAGAAAGTAAGTGGGAGACGAGGATCGCCTTGGTCGGAGAACAAGGAGGAGGAGGAGGAGGAGGAGAAGGAGGAGAAGAAAAAGAAGAGGAAGAAGAAGAAGAAGAAGAAGAAGAGGAAGACGGGGCAGGACGTAAATACGAAGAAAGATGGGGCTACCAACAAAGATAGAACGCAACACTAGAGATAAAGAGAGGGGAGAAAGCAGAAGGAGGGGAATATACGTTGCGAAAAAGGCTGAGAAACACAACAAAAATAGACAGACACGCGTATCGAAGGATAGGTAAGTTAAAAGGAGATAGAAAGACGACAGAAGTGGAGATGAGGAGGAAGGTGCACGAAGGCCGTTGCATGAATAGGCGCACGCGCGGTTTACAAGCACGTGGGTAAACCGCCTTCAACAGGATTCGCACACACAATACTGCGCTCTCGGATATACGCAAATAGCGTTTTCGTTTCTTTCTACATCTCCCCTATCTGCCACGTCGTACGTGCCGCGAAGATCGCGCATGCACTTTATTATACTTTATCGAACTCGGGTGCGCGCGAATCCGGCGGATTTTTCGCCGACTAACAAGAATGGAGTAAGTTAAACCCGTTTAAAGCGTCGTCGTGCCGGTAGTGGATTACCGGTTTCCTTTCATTCGTATCTCCTTCTCCTTCTCTTCTTTTCTTTTTTATATTCAAATATCTACATTTCGATCGAGCATTGTCCCGATACGATGATACTTATTGTCCCAATACGTCAGCTGTTAAGAAGGAACGTTTCGTTATTACGCTATTTAGGGTCTAATAATTACGTCGTATTTTGGTCGATGGTTATCGACGAAACGTTTTCACGGGATCCATAGGTTTCGTTTTGCCGTTCGAATTTCGAACTGAAACGAAACAACGATGCTTAGTATCCGTGACGACCGCACCATTTTCCGAAATAATACCCTAGCTTAAATACTTAACGATCTTGAAAATCTGGCAGCTATTCACGAAGTTATTATTGCGTCGGTAATCGTGCGGTTTATTTGTGAGTCGCTACGTTTCTCACAGAACTTTGGATAATCCTCGACCCCGAAGGAGACAATAGAGCATGATTGTACTTGAGACCGAAAATTATTCTTAAGAAGCTAGTCTTTGATACATATATATATACATATATATGTATACATATATTTTATTAACGTTTCCCCGTATAATGGCAAGAGACGTAACGATTGTGTTTCGTTGATTCCGTATATCTGTTGACAACGTTTATTAATAAATATGTAACGAAATGTTTTCAGTTGATAACGGTATACGTCAATGACATCGTTCGGAAGACGTAGCCGATCGGTGGCTCAACAGAAACATGGAACGGGTAATTCCACGTAATTACGCAGAAACCTGACGTTACGGTAAGCCAACGTGCAATTTCGACACGTCGGAGTGGTGCATCCGTTTCGTACTTAGAAGTCGGCAACAATGGCGCTCTGAACGATAAAAGTTCGGATAGCAGCGTACGCCGTACGTGCCATGCTGCGTGACACCGATGGCCGCGCAATCACGTGGAACCAATACAGGTACACCTTGTACGTGGAGAAGCATCGTGTACGCACACGCGCGAACTGCACGGAGTGAACCGGAGACGAAGAAAGCGAACGTCTCGTATGGTGGGGGAACACGAAGGATGACCTAGAGTGGGAAAGACGACGATCGACGAAGACGAAAGAGTACGCAGACAATGCCGTTCTGACGAAGACGGGCGAACGAAGAAGGAGGAGGAGGACGAAGGAACGGAAAGAGAAAGAAACTACAGATACGAAACGCGGTCGAAGAGGAAACGCGAGACAGAAGATACACGCGGAAAGAAAGAGGAGAGGTCAGGAGCAGACAGAGAGCGAGAGACGAGAGACAAGACTAGAAAGAAGTGGGGATCGCGAGACAGAAAAGACAAAGACGAAAATACGAGGAAAGAAGACGGTGGTGGGGGAACAACGTGTCTCTAGAAACGACCTCGTGCGGCAGACGGAGCAACGGAGAGAGTGAAACTATCGGACGAGGAGGAAAGACGACTGTACTGTAAAGAGCGAGTAAAAAGGGAAAAATAATTCTCGCGTAAAGGCGGAATAATATATCGTAAGTAAATTGGTCGATCTGGTTAAAGGAGAAGACGAAGGAAGCGAGGAAAGAAGGTGAAGAAATACGATACCCTGGGTTTGCACGTACGATGGAAACGACGCGTATGCCGTCCGCATATTGGAAAGAAACAAACGGATCGTATAGTAAATAGGTAAAAAGAGAGACATGCGCAGACCGAAAGGCTACGAAGAAAGAGACACGGAGAATAAGCCACACAAGCGCGTGAGAAAGAGGCCAAACGGCTGATAGTAGGATTCGAGTTGAATCACGAAAGAAGGGAAAGGAGGTGGTATGTATGGTCGACCTTCGCGGGGACGCGCATCGGGCCGATTCTCTGGCCGTCGCGCGAAAAGTTAATGCCCGATTTCGCAATTCCGAAATTTCGGGAAAAAAGAATTAGATAGGATCGAACTCGAGTACCAAGGGGAAGTCAAAATTTCCTTCTGAATATAAAATAGGCGCAATCGGTCTCCACCGATACCCTTATCGATACAGTAAAATGATTTATTTCCGGCCCGATACCATATGCCATTATTATCTACTATCGGCTAATTGGTATTTACAATCATGGTATATTACATCACTCGCTGATACATAGTCTGTGAGACGCAATATATTAACGAAAGCGATTAATAGAATGGAAGATTAATCGGGTCGAGTCTTACGTACCGAAGATTATTGCGTGGCGAAGTAACCGCAGTCACAACCCCCC